TATGAGAATGGGGGAAACGGGCCGGCGCATTTACACTAAACTTTTCTGTCATGTAGCGGGCCGCAAAATATCGTCTTGCGGGTCACAAATGGCTCGCTGGCCGCGACTTTGAGAACCCTAAATTAGATTTTTATTTATTAATATTGACGATTATCTCATTTTTATAAAAAAATAATGTAAATATTTATATTTTCCCACATCATTTTCGATGTAAGCAGAATGTATGCGGGAACGAATTTCAAAATATCTTAATATTTCATTTTCGGCTTCGGCTTCGGTTTCGGCCGAAATTCATTTTTAACTTTCGGTCTTTTTTCGGTTTCGGCCGAAAGTCATTTTTAAACTTTCGGCCTTTTTCGGTTTCGGCCAAAAGTCATTTTAAACTTTCGGCCTATTTTCGGCTTCGGCCGAAATCAGAAAATCACTTTCGGTCGGTCTCTAATTGTGAAACAATGACACTTGGGGTGGTATTGTGAAACAATGACACTTGGGTGGTATTGTGAAACAATGACACTTGGGATGGTATTTTGAAACAATGACACTTGGGATGGTATTGTGAAACAATGACACTTGGGGTGGTATTGTGAAACAATGACACTTGGGATGGTATTGTGAAACAATGACACTTGAAATCGTATTGTGAAAGAAGCCGATGCAGTTGGAGTTCAAATTGGAATTCCAACCAACGACGATAACTATATTGTGGTACAAAGCCACAAAGAGTTCAGGCAATGTCAAACCAATTATTGTAATTTTTATTTATTTGTTGTTGTTTTTTGTTTTTTGTTGTTGTTGTTGTTTTTTTTTTGCCATCATCAACTGGTAAAATGTTTACAGGAACGACTCAAACGAATGGGGATTCAATGCGTGCCAGGATACGCGTGCCACGATACGCGTGCCAGGATACTTTCTGCGTGTGTCGACAAGTTCACCGGTGAATCGATGCTCGATTTAGTTACCTGTAGCATTATGACATGTGTGTCGACATTAAACCCAAGTTCATTAAACGTTTTATGCTTCAGATACAGTCAACGAACTTGTGAAATTATTATAGCGGTACAGTGATGATTCACACACATAATATGCCTTCTGCCAGGTCTTTTATCAAATCATTTAGAAGAAAAAAAGAAACATTGTTGCCCATTCATCAACTTCGAACATGGTTCAGTCACTTTTCACATGGTTTTATTTAGCTCTTGAAAGTAATCGACATTATCCTGACATTGCCGACGATGACATCTGTTTATAACTAACTTTTTTTTTTTAGTTGCATGAAAAGAGTAACAACACAACTCAGAAATAGATGTGGAGACACACGACTCGTTGATCTGCTGGCAAATGCATGCCTCCAAGAAGATGCAAAAAAATGTGAACATTTACAAAATTATTGATGCCTATATATAGCCCGCCAAACATAGGCAACAACGATGCGTGAACTTCCCATTTACTAAAGTTACTTGACAAAACATGAACTCAAGTATCGCACATATAAGAATCCCAAATTTTGCTGCACCCCTTCCCTCCATGCTACGTCACTGCACACTTTTTATTTCACGCCCGTGAACTATATTAAATATTCTGATGTCCCAACCACTTTTAAACCGAAAATTCTTTACACTACACCAGCACTTAAATTGAGACGATTTCATTTTCCGAAAAGAAAATATTACGCACCAAAGGCAACTGCGTTTTAAATATATATATAAACAGGGGTGGACTGGGGAGTTCAAGCGGCCCGGGAAAAAAACAAAAAAGCGGCCCTATCTTCATGACTTTTATTTGTATTATATCACCAGTTCTAGCGGCCCATCGGGAATCTTCCCGGTGTCCTGGCGGCCCAGTCCACCCCTGTATATAAAATATTATTTAGCGTAGTTATCGGGAATTACATTTTGCGAGCTCGTGAACTCATTACTCAATATTGAACCATACTTTCTTTCAAACATAAAGAATTATAATTTGTAATATTCTCTCAATACCGAATTCGTTGGTTAGGAGCAGTCCATTAGGAAGCAGTCATTTAGGAAGCTGTCCAGCGTCACACCAGAAGCGTAATATATATAAGAGACAAAACTAGAGTTTGCGTTTCATAGATTTCCCACATCGCTTACAAGTTGCACTGTGGCAAATATAAATCAACACCTAATTTATAATGATCTCTAAACCGTGACACATTCTCGCTGACAATCAGAGGCGTAGCGAGGGTGTTTGGCGCTCGGGGACAAGATTCGCGCCTGGGGACAAGATCCATTTTAAAGCGCCCCTTTTTCTTTTTTTCAACTCTCAAAACCATTATTTTCAACTAGCTGACGCTCGGGTACATCTGTCCCCCTGCCCCCCTTCGCTACGCCTCTGCTGACAATATATTATATGTCCACATCTAGCAGCACTACTTGCAGACGAAATGAACAACTTAGCAACCCGGCAAAGTTTTGATTCCGCCCGCCCCGCCCCCGCCCCCCCCTCTTCCAAAAAAAGCCCTGGGGGATAAAATTTGAAATGACATACCTGACTATGGGCGACATAAACAACCTCAACGAAGAAATCCGTTTGTTCAATATTGAGGACTTTAGTAATGTATTTTTCGAATGCATTTTGACTTTTTAAAATGTATAATTGTATTCTCCGTATAAATAGATTCAATAAACCATTATGAATTTAAATGATCTCTGATTTTCTTCCTTTTAAATCCGGAAAAGGGGGGTGGGGGCGGGGGAGTTGGCGTACAAAATATTTTTTTTTTGGAAATGGCTAAAAAAGTTATCCGACTGCTGGAATACACAGACAGACATATAATCAATATTGAATGTAACTAAACATCGTAATAATCAGTGGCGAACCTTGACTAAATGCCGCCCGGGATGAACTCACGAAATTGTGCCCCCCCCCCCCCCGTAAGTTATAATTAGGTCATACTGTACTTTTATTTTTTTAAATTAAATATTAAGCAACATCATTCCTTTGCATTTATGGGGGGGGGGGGTGGAAACGTTCCCGCATCAGCTCAAAGCAGTGTTGCCAACCGTCCGTCATGTTCATATGGCATCCTCCTCATTCTCATCCTCATGTCCCTTAGTCCTTGGACCATTGGGGCGCCACAGATGACATGTGAACCATCCTCCTCCATTCCTCCCTGTCTTCAGCACTACGCACTGCATCGCCCATATGGCACAGATATATTTTTTTTTAATAGTCTTACGGCTCGGATATTTCATTGTTTTAGCTCCATAGTTATAAATGAATTTAGATTGAAAAATATGTCTATAAGATATATTTTTGTCCATAAACAACTTAAGGTCTAAAATATTTGTCCATAAATATTATTTTACTGAGTTGGTAACGGTTGGTCAAAGACTCAAACTAGATTGGACAGAAAATGCAGTAAAATCATAATGGTTACCCCTTCCAGACTTCCCCACGAACCTCCTCCGTGGTGGTCTCCTTCGGGACAGTGCACACATAATATAAGTATAAGGTTGCGAGCAAAACAAAGGATGAGAAAAACCGTGGGTGGGGGGGGGGGAGAGAGAAGATGCAAAAAAACAACTTACGTGTCGACAAGAAGCCTTATTCAACGGACAAACAACATGGAACACAATAAAAAAAAAAATAAACGAACCTCCTCCGTGGTGGTCTCCTTCGGGACAGTGCACACATAATATAAGTATAAGGTTGCGAGCAAAACAAAGGATGAGAAAAACCGTGGGTGGGGGGGGGAGAGAGAAGATGCAATAAAACAACTTACGTGTCGACAAGAAGCCTTCTTCAACGGACAAACAACATTGAACACAATATAAAATAAAATAAACACTCAACTGCAATGTAGTATCCGAGAGTACAGGAAGACGCATTTGACAGAACATTAGTAGGTCATATTATATTAAATACAGGGAAAATGGGGCGGGAGGAAATGAAAAATAATTCCATTGCGATTGATCGTGACTAGGAGGGAACGGAGTAAAGGTTTAACAAGTGAATGAGAACATGCCATGTGGTATCAAGGTGTCATAAGTCGGGATCAGTTTATTTTTAAATTGCACCCGGTTTAGTGTGTTTGTTCAAGACACAATGGCAGCGATAGCTAAATCCCCCGAACCCTTGTAGTCACTTTTATTAAAATTGTTTAGGAGATGGGTCACTGCTTATCTTCAGTAATATTTCGGAGGTGTTCAGTGCATCTCTCAGGGAGGCGACGCCCAGTCTCACCTAGATACACCTTCTGGCAGCGGGTGCAAACAATGACGTAGGAGAAACGGCTGCGTCCACATAGCTTGGTCCCAAAGTGGGAGGGGACAATAAGGATGCGACTACGCACAAGGAGGTCTCGCAGATTTTTATCACGTCTGAAAACAATGAGAGGCTAGGAAGAGAAAATGACGTGTGTGTCAGGGTCAGTGATGAGAATGGCACGGTTTTTAAGGAAAAACTGTTTGGCTATGAGATTGTGAGAAAAGGTACCCGGTATGTGAAAATAAGTTTAGTTCTGTCGCCATTGTTAGGCGGAGGAGACCTGCAAAGTATTAGCATGACTAAGATTTTTAACCCTTTGAAGGGCTGATGAAAGTACTGTCTCCGGGTAGGGTCTACATTGAAAATAGTCAATCATCTCAAGTACATTGTCCCAAAAGTCATCCTCCAACTGGCAAAGTCAACTAAGAAGAAGTAGATGAGAAAAGGGAACAGCGTCTTTACAGTATTTAAGGTGGGAAGAAGATTTTTACTACATAGCTGTGGCTGTTAATAGGTTTAAAGTAGCGGAGGTAAGTAGGTAGTCTTGGTAAAGGGGGACCTGTAATGTCCAAAATGTTAACTGGGGTCTAAGAAGACAGTGATGTGAATTTAATAGAGGGGTGAGTGTTCAAAAAGCCAACAACAAAGTTGATAAAAGTGTATTTCACTCGTCTCCTTAGTGGTGATCCACAGGGCCAGCCCTACGGTTAGTGGCACCCCGATCAAGCTTATATTTGAAGAAAAACTAGAGGTTAGGTTTTTTGTTTTTTTTTTTTTTTTTTTTTTTTTTTTTTTTTTTTTTTTTTTGGTTTTGATTTTAACAAAAAATGAACAACAATATTGTCTTTTAGGAACAGTTAGCTTACCGATACCATTTTTTCTCTAGCCTTTAGATCAGCAACTCTTTTTATTGCACTTTCTACATTTATATTCTTTGCAATATCATTTTCTATTGACTAATTTGCCAAATAATTAATTCTGTCTGGAGACATGGATGATCGTAATTTTTTTTATTTTTTATAAGCTGTAGTTTACTAACGCTTCTCTCGCCAGCAGCTACAGAAATAGTTATTTTAAGCAATATTCAGTATGGTACCCACATATTTGGCATGACAACCATTAGTATTTATGAATTTAACGACTTCTATTTTTGGAATCTTTACATCATGAGGAAACAATTCTTTGGCTATTTCTAATTCAGTATAAAGAGAACAAACTTCAACCAGAAATAGATGTTTCTTTTCATGAGGTATGATGATAGATGCAAAAGTTTTCAAAGCATGATTGATGTCTCTCATACGTGGACAGTGAGGCCACTATGGGTGGAGAATTCCGTGATACGTTCTTTGGGGCAAGATCATGCTGCGACAATGGGTCTTCCAGGTTTACCGTACTTGTGTATTTTAGGAAGTAGGCAAAGATGATTAAAGCTGAGGCCGATTTAGGGAGTGCCGATTCTGCTATCAATTTTTTTACTGTCTCTTTTACCATGCCATTACTTTTTAGCAATAGGGTTATTAGTTATTGGTTGGTAAAACTAGCTGTCTTTTAGTTGAAAGTATAAATAAATATATATTATATAGATTTTGTTCATTTTTTTTTAGCCCAATATAATTACAATGTTGTAAACAATTTAAAAAAAAAACGGTTACAAAATGGGAAAACCTAATTTAATACTGAAGTAGCGTGATTATTCAAATAAGGTAGTTAAATATTGTTAAGTGTGGAGTTGTTTAAAAAGAAATTAAAAAATTAGTACACAGATTGAAAGCAATTGACATTGGCATTGGAATGAAGCAGCCAAACGAAAATAAACAAAGTTTCAAAATATGTTGCGGCCACTTTTATTTTTATTATTCACTCAATTATTTTTTTTACGATGAATTTTCAATATTAGCAAAGCAAGAGAGGAAAAATGATTACCGGTACTTATAAAATTATAACTAAATTATACAGATAGTATTATTTTTTTTTTAAAGTTTTCTATTTCAAGTAAATTTCCCTAAAAGTTAAAAGTACAACTTTAAAGTTAAAGGACCCAGCACAGCCGTAGCCCAGACATAAGAATAGACTTTAAAGGCCTGAGGCAGCCTCCTCCTTCAGTTCGCCACTGGAAATAATGATTACTGGTACTTATTTTTACATATTATTTATGTTTGTATTCACATTTTCTTTCTTTAGTTTATGAAAAGAATAAATGAAGGAATGCCCTTTTATGGCTTATTTTTTTTACCGGAATAAGTTTTTGAAAGATAGCGAGAAAAATGGCAGACGCTGCGCATGCGCATGAAAAGCAACAAATATGGTGGTAAACTCCCGGAAGCAACACATTTAGAAAATTTATTTATTTAAATTATTGTTACCAAGGGCTTAAATTAAATTTAAAGTATTAAGAAAAAAGGTAAGTTGTGATTAGGGAATATTAATTTTAAAATCATCATATGATAATAGTTTTATCGACTTCATACAACTAGGCTATCCATTGCAATTCGAGTGAGCCGACGCCGACAGATTTTCACATTTTTTTCCCCCAATATCACTTGTTGGACTTGATTTTGATTTGAGATGTGACACTGCTGATGATGGTTACTTTCACTGACTTTTAGTTCTTAGAGTTAGTGATAAGCATAGGCCCATTTGTTTCTAGCAAGTTATTTATATATAATTATTGTTGGCAGTGACATGATGATTAGTAAAAAAACACATTAACAATTAGCCTACATTACAACTTACATTCTACATTCTGATTCTCATTCAGTTCATTCACTGATACTGATGTCATATATGATATATGAGGTACGATATATGATACTCATACTGTCATACTTATTGACAGCTTGTGGTTGCGGTTGGGTCATTCATTGTTAACTGAATATTTCTTGGATACATTTATTCTTGATTTCAAATCACTGCACACTGATAGCGAAATTTTGGTTGCAATTTAACACATCGACATCAGTGTTAGTACTGTTAGCGGCAGGGCTGTGGATGTCTTCCACGGTCATGGTATATAGCATATAGGTGATGGAGGTTCACCATGTCAGCTACCAGCCATAGTTCCGTTTTTCAAAAGATTATGAAATTTAGCTCTGTATTTATTGAAATAATTTTTTTTTTCCTCTTTTTTTTAAAAAAAATTATTGTATTGAAATCGGTGGAAGGGTTGGGATGGGGGTCTCTCTTCCCAGAATTTATGTTGTAATGCCCCATTAAATTGCGACACAGACACAACTTAAGTGTTATTACTCATGTCAAAAAAAGGGGAAAGGTGTGTTTACTACACAACAGTATCAAGCCTGATTTTATTACAAGAAGACAGAACCATTTAAAATGCAAAGAATAATTTTGGCTTTACATATAAATGAATTTGTCCCTTGCAGGCTAAACCGACAACTGGTGGGTTTCTATATAGATCAAGAGGGGCTACAGAGTAGCCTTTTATGATCCGTTTGACTGATAGGTTTCTTTTTTGTCTAAAGAATGTATGAATGTGCTCCTTATTTTTGCGGGACACACCTACACCTTGCATGTTAATAACTACTGTGTTGCAACACACAGTTTGGAAAGCACTGCTAATGCCTATGTCATAGCATCTCCCATTTATGTTAATTTTTAAGTTCATGATTATATTTGTTAATTGTATGTACAGCGTGGTGATCACAGCCCTAGACTGGGGTACCGCACTATATAAAACCACTAATAAAAACAATAATAATAATAATAATTTGACTCATCAACCTCGTAAAGGCCTTTTAGGTATACAAAAGTCTACACAATGTTATATATAAATTGTAAATTAGGGCTATATGCCTATATTATTTTACAAAATAACGTTTTAAAAATAGGATGCCTTATATGTTTTAAAAAATATTTTTAAATATCTGAAAAAAAGTATTTTTACTCAGTAGGCAAATTGAAAATTGTTCAAATTAATATTGATAAATAAAAATGATAATTAAAGATGGATGATAAATTTGATAAATAAAAATGATAATTAATGATGGATGATAAATTTTGAACTTGTATTTGAGGAAAAAAAAATTGAGTGATATAAATAATAATTAAAAAAATCATATTTAGCAAGACATTTGTATTAAAACATATTGTTTTATATTGGTCTGCTTTTTATTGTGGAGGGGAGTGTTAATTGGTCATTTTGGGAATTGTAATATTGGATTGAAAAAATTACCATTTTACTGAATTAAATGCTTCTTGAACAAGTTAAATTAACATTTGAAATAAATTTGGCGAATTTTGGTTTTGTGAAAATATATATCAACTATACAATTATTACAATTCATTTATTAAACTATTCTAACTTTGATTATTTGTTTTTTCACATTAGATCAGAGAAGTTTGTAACACTAACAGCATGGCGTCAAATGATGAAGGTAAGCAGAATATTTCTGTTCAAAGAATTACTCAATAAAAAATTGTTAATGTTTATTTTGCTCTGATCTTTTCTTATATTTTCCATTTTGTATAGTGATCTACCTAAAATGTATCCCAGAAGTAAAAGTAATACAGAAGTAATTGAAATAATTTACATAAGAAATTTGGCTGACTAAACTAATCCTAAATTTTGGCATATTGCACTAATAGAGGTTGTGATGACCCCATCAAAAAAGGGGAAAGTGACACACATCAAGATTGAGAGAAAGAAGAAACAGTCTGTCAACCCTGAGGACATTGTTCATGTTGCAGGTGGTCAGCATCAGGGTTTGGTTATAAACAGGCCAGGTTGGTATGGAATATTTATTCCTATGTCAAAATTAATTTTTGAATATAGTCAATTTAGACAGAAATTTAATGGACATATTTCTATTGCATTTCTTTTTATGTTTTGAATAATCTTTAATCTATTAATTTTAATTTACAAACCCCAAACCCCCCCCCCCCCCCACACACACACCCACCAATTAAGCAACTGTATAGTTTCAAAAGGGTAAAATACAAACAACTAAAACTTACATTTTTTTCAGATGCTCAAGATGAAGATTTGGGGAAACCACAGTTGCAGCTAGGCTTTATGTGTTTTTTAGTAGATATGAAGACTGATGAGCACTATGTTGTAAGTACATTTATAGATAAAAAAATTCTTGATGATTTTTCTATTTTTTTGCTTTGATTTAAACTTGTTAATACCATATTTGGCATATTAATGGCTTATGTTATTTTTATATCATAATGGCCCATAATCCAGTACTAGTCAAAAGTGAGGTCTTATTACTTGGAGCAGCATGAAAGCTCATAGTCACCAAAGTCAGGGGGGGGTTCCAGATTACTTGGACCAGTCTGAAAGGCCCCAGTTACCAGTCAATTTAAAAAGTGTGTGGGGTTGGGGGGGGGGGCAGAGATTTAGAATTTAGACAATAAAAATAATAATATTCAAATAATCCTGATAGCAATATAGATACTTTCTGCTAATGCAGCACACTGAAAAGTTTGAGAAGTACTGACATAAAGCAACTCCCGAGCTTTAAACTCACTCTACATTATGTGCAGTTTTATTTTACTTTGTTTTTGTAAGCCATTTTTTAAATAATAATTCACAGGAAAGTCGAAAATTGAAGTTCTGGTATATTCCTGGTTGTGACTACTATAATCAAGTCACAACAGCTTATGAATTTTTTAAAGAATTAGTTAGACCGGAAAATTTTCCAAGAGGTCAGTATTTTTTTTTACGCAGCTTATCATTTCTATTTTAAAAAATAATAGCACTCTTGCATTATCAAACTTGGTTAAAAAATAATTGAATTATTCAAATTTTTAAAGCTTTAGGTATATATATTATCAACTAAACTGTTGTTAATTTTTTTCTATAGATTATGTTGGTTTTATTAAAAAGTGCATGAAGCAAATGCAGAGTGAGCGCTACAAAATGGCACGAAAAGTTGATCTAGAAGTGGAACATCTCGACGCAGCAGATGCTCCAATGAGCCCAGGTGAGAAATTTTTCTGTCAAAGCTTCAAGAGATTTTACTTTTGTGATACAAAAGCTGATAATTGCAATTTATGTTCTTTCTAATGCTTTAAATGTAGTCAAATGTTTTATTGAGGTGAAGGGGTTTCTTCTTGTGCTTTAAAAACATTTAAGGTTAATCACTACACTATGGTTAGTTTTTTAGTACCTCCAATGACATAAAAGCTATTTTGTTTGATGTTTTAACCCTGAGATCTGCTGATCTGATCTATCCTTTCTGTTATTTTCAATAGATTCAACATTTATTTTATACATATTCAAGTTTAATAGCTCATTCATTTTTATCCTGGCCAGACTCAATAAATGTTTGCTGCCTACCCCTTATGTGAACTCTTTAATAAATAGCTATGATTTTGAAAATAACTTTTTATTTTAAGAAATTATATTTTCATACAGTGATTTAAATATTTCAGCCTATTAACACTTAAAGTTATAACAATAAAAGCTAGGTTACTAATTATTGCAAGAAATGTCATAAGTACACCTCTTTATGCACTTTCTCATGTACTTATTTACCAAAAATCATTAGGTAAAACATATTGGATGTTGACCTGAAGAGGATTTATAATAAATTTAAACATGTCCAAAATTCAAATTATCTGTGTTACCAAGGTGCTGCCTTATAGCTAAAAGTCATAAATTTCATCAGATTATTTATTTGATCGTATTTACTGCTCAACATCTTTTTCCCTCAATCGTTCTAAAAGGGGTAAATGGTTTTAATGCAATTTATGATTTTCTTCTTTTATTTCTTGGCTGCTTTACTTATAGACTGCCTTATACCTTTGGATAAGTTTGGTAGGTGGAGGTGCTTGTTTCAACTTAGTTACCAAAGACATTACCATTTGTCTGAGAACCCTTTTATTTTAATGCTTTAAAATTTTGATTAGTTAATAGTTATTGGTTGTAATTGGTGTGCACACTGGTTGTAAATTGGTGGGCTCACATCCAGGAGATTGTTGACTGGTTTTCAAGCAACTTGCCATCACTTTAGAAAAAAATAAATTATGCCCCAATAGAATGCTAAGTCTGAAATGAAAGGGTTTACCAACAACATTGTTTTTGTAGATGTTCACTCACATTCTAATCTTTTCATGAGCATTTGTCATTATCATTGTTTACTTCAATTGTATTAATCTTGTTTTTACCTTTATCTTCTGTATTTTATTAACTTTGTTAGTTGTGTTATTGATTTGACCTAATTTTATATTTATTGTAAAAGTAGAACTTCAGCTGAAAACATCATTAGGTTTCACTCGCTTTTACTGAGATAAATTTAGGATTTTATTTTTGTACTAATGAGGCTGTCACTAAAGATTGCCTACTGAGATTGCCAGCAAAGGTTTAATTCAACTAGACTATGTTAGTCAGTTTGACTCTAGTTGTGTTTACCTAGCATATACTACCGTTTCATTAGCATGCAATACTCTTTAGGAATATGTTTGTTTCTTTTTTTCTCATGAGGGATTTAGCTGTAGATAGCTGGCCATAAAGAGAATTATTTACATTTTGTTTCAACGTGAGCATGTAACTAATCTTAGTATCCATCAAACTATGCGTTGGTATTATTGCACTTGGCACTTTTTTAAGATTCAGGAATCTAAAAACCAGTTGCTTCATCTAGTAATTAGAAGATTTGATATGCCATTAATTATTAATTGGTTAACATTCAGTTTATGTATTGAGTTTAGTGAACTTTGTCTGCCTTTTCTCAATGATATTCAACATAATTATTTCAATTTAGCAACACCTCTAGTTATTATGATACTATTTTAAAACTATTTAATGACACTCATTTTGTGTAACAGTTCAGTTTTAAAGAGCACGAAATATTTCAGTAACATTTAATCAACTTAAAATGTCTATTATCGGGTTATGTGATGATGCTCTATAGCCCTGTTATGTTCTTCATTAAATGACAGCAATTATTTCTGTGTCAATATGATAAAATTGATTTTTAATCAAAACCTGAAAAAAATAATGAAAAAAGATTCAACATCCTTAAGGTAAATCAGGTCTCCATTGTTTGTGGTCTTACAAAGGCAGACCTAATGATAAAGTTTAAATTTCTGATTGTTTTTTCTCTTCTTCCTCCATATCTTACAACTTATTAAGGAATTGAAAATATGAATGGCGAGGGTAAGTGTGATTTGCAGCCATGTTGTTGTTGCATCCCTCCCGGCACTGGACCACTGGTGTGTGTAAACTTGTATAATAGATCACTGCATCATGTTTTCTCTTTTCTACAGTTATGTTAACATTTATTGAGTATTTAAAAATTTGATTGTGTTCCCAATTGTTTTGCACTTGAATGATTCCTATACTTTAAAGTACTAGATCAGGGATTCTTAACCAGGGGTCCCTGGGTGTGTGTGTGGGGGAGGGGTGGCAATGCAGGAAGACCCAGAATTTTTTTAAAGCAAAAACACAAAATAGTTTTTGAAAATAAATCCCCCAAAAATTATAACATTACATTATTTTAAAATAACGTGAAAGTGCACAAATGTATTTCCAAAAATTATTTATTACAACTTTCCTGTGTCTTTCAGAGTTAAATCAAATATATTGCAAATTAATTAGAGGCCACATCTATATATTTATCCATTTAAATCACCTGGCAGCCATGTTTTATCCCGTTGGGAGGGGATGCAGAAAATGTTTTAAAATATAAGTAGAGGTGCAGCCGAGAAAAAGGTTCAGAACCCCTGTGATAGATGTTACCAGTGCAGACCTGTTCACTCTTACGATTTTGGCGTACAATGTACGATTTTAAGGTGTATACATATGTATACTGTATGTTTATTATTTTACTACTAAGATGTTTTGAACGATTTTGTGATGACATTGTACGATTTTAAGAGTTTGAGGGTGAACAGGTCTGCCAGTGATAAACATTTGAATGATTCCCTTACTCTAAAATACTAGGTGTTATCAGTGTTTGACATTTGAATGATTCCCTTTATCTAAATTACTAGATGTTACCAATGTTTTCCATTTGAATGATTCCCTTGATCTAAAGTACTAGATGTTACCAGTGTTTTACATTTGAATGATGTCCTTACTCTAAAGCAGGCCTGCACAACATGCGGGCCGCATGTGGCCCGCCAGCACCCACTTTGTGGCCCGCGAGGTATCGAAAAACTCGTTATTCTTATTATTTTCTTAATAACTTTCCCCCTGACCTATATTTTTTGGGCCCTCACAAGTCCTGTCCTATTTTCTTTTGGCCCGCACACATTTTTCCTATTGCATTATGGCCCGCCTTACATTTTGAGTTGTGCAGGCCTACTCTAAAGTATCGATGATACCAGTGTTGAGTACCAGCAGTTTTGAGTAAATTTCCATGTAAGTGTGTGTTTGTGGGCTGTAAAATTTTGCACACAAAAAAAAATTGGTGCTGTAAAACTTTGCACACAACTGTATGATTTTACACACGAACCAACACATCTTAGAGGGAACATTGCATATTTATGTTGATGAAATTTGAAAGGTTTCTTTTTGTTCCGTAAGTTGTTGTATCAGGTTCTTCTCTTAATAAATCTACTGAGTTAATGAGATTTCTGAGTAGAATCAGACAGTAGCAGATTATTCTGTTATTGTTGAATGGGGGTGTTTAAAAGCATTTTTCCCAAAAAGCAACCAGCCATTCTGCTGATGGTTGTCATTTGTGAAGCAGGAAATGGACCTCTTCTAAGTAGTCCAAATGGTTCCAACAATGTATTGTATTTTTTTTTAGATAATAGCCTTGACACTTCTTTTTACTACTAAATCTGTGCTCCGTTGGTCTCAGTTGATACACTGGCCACAAGTTAGGAAAATGACATGCATCCTTATAATCCCCAAGTTACCCACTCCCTACTACTGTCAAATGTTAACTTATCCCAAGTATTGTTTCAAATCTACTTGGAGTATCCTTGATATAAAATGTGTGTCCTTAATATTCTGTGTCTGTGGTAAAATTTGAGCTTTTGCTGTATAATGGCAGCCAGAAGTAAATTATATTTTCTTTTACAAGTTTTATCGGTATTTGAATGTTGCTGAATATTACTTTTCCTATTGGATTCCAGTTCTCTGACAAAGCTTTTAGCTGTCTCATTTATAAGAGAATTTTAAAAAAAAAATGTTAACAGTCCTTCATCCCAATTTTTATTTGTTAAAAAACTAAATATATGTTCAACAAGTAAATTTGAAACCTTAACCTTAAGATTACAAAATTTAATTTTCAAATCTGATTCATACCTTCCTAAAGAGAGCATTAAATCAACATCACTTTCTAAAAAACAATAAAAAATTACCTGCTATTAGAGTCAGTAACAGGAAAGCATTTTAACGGTCTATGTGTGTGACAGGAGATTGTGACATATGTGAGAACTGGGTCAGTCGTGACTCACCCTCTACATCAGCAAAGTAACTTAATATGGCCGGGGCTATGAAAACTTGACATCTGAACCATTATAACTTGCCACTGAGTTAACACTCGAAGATAGTAACCTTTAGAAGACAAAGTGCTCCTGCTAAAATTATTGGTTAGTTAAATTACAATGGCAATTTTTATGTAGGACTTTCAAAGGAACAGGCAGGAAATTTTAATATTATTTTTTGGGGGGCAGAAAAAAGGGGGAGGGGGGTGTTGCTTTGTTTTCCCACATTTATAACAAAAAATGTCTACTGAAATTACAGGTGAAAATTTCATTCATTAAATTCTACCAGTCAAATTTTAGAAGTTGAGTGACATAGTTTTGCCAAGATCTCTGACTTCTTTGTCCAGTCTGTTTGACCAGTTTGTCACCCCCACTCCCACACTTGAACCTTTACATGGGGATGGCCACATAGACTTGTCAATGCTCCTCATGCCATACCTTGTCCCTTGCCTCACTGGGCTTTGTTGACTATTTGATCTCTCCTCACAACCCCCCCCCCCACCTTTTTCCTCTATATTTGTCTCCCTGTCTGGTGGCACTGCTTAAGGCTATCAAATTATGCTATGGTGAGTGGCACATTGAGTTTTATGGTTCCCTGTATGGGGATGGCCACATAGGCTTGTCAATGCTCCTCATGCCATACCTTGTCCCTTGCCTCACTGGGCTTTGTTGACTATTTGATCTCTCCTCACACCCCCCCCCCCACCTTTTTCCTCTATATTTGTCTCCCTGTCTGGTGGCACTGCTTAAGGCTATCAAATTATGCTATGGTGAGTGGCACATTGAGTTTTATGGTTCCATGTGTAATCTCTCTCTCTCTCTCACTTTCTTTTGCATTTATGATTTCTTTTTTTAAAGGTACATACCAAAACATGTTTGAAGGAGTAGGTAAAGTTTCACAAGAAGAACTTGCCTTGTATCACCCCCCTGACATTTCCACTCATTTTTTTTCTCTCTCTCTTTTTTTTTTTTTACTGTGGGAATCCCTTTCATATGCATTGTTTTCTGCATAAAGTGGGACATTGCCTGTTACTATTAGTTCTTCTCTTGTTTTTATGTATAATCCAATCATCAGAATAGTGCAGTTAAAATGTTATCCTTTTAAAAATTATATTAAAAAATAAAACTTTATGTTGTTGAACCGTAACACTTTGTTAGGTTTTACATTTGAATGATGGCTTGAGAAAATGTATGTACTCCCTTTATCCTTGATTTTTTAAATATTTCATTGTAATAACATAAAATGCTTGCACTAGAGTTTTATTATGGAGAAACCAACCATTGACTAGGGTAGAGTCATTTCCCCCTAACCTTTACCTGTCATTGCAAGTGAAAAGGTCATGGGTGAATGCCCCTTGTCAAGTTTTATCTTTTAAATTCCAGTTTTTTTTTGATGGGTTGAGACCATTATGTCAAAAACCTCTTAGTTACTACTTTCAGTTACTACTTTCACAGTCAATTCATCTTGTTCCTTATTTTTCTCTTTATTGACTTTAACACCTTTAAGAAATATATCCCCTAACAGGATTCTGTAAGACAAAAACACTGATATTTATAATGTATAGAAAAAGATCATCTGCAATGCACCATGTATACTTAAGCATTAATTCTTATTGTTTTTACTTAATTGAATTACATGCTCTCTCCAATATAATAAATGAGCACTAAATTTATTTACAAATATGTTATGCAGTTGTGATGTTTAGTGCTTTGGTATGTCTGGTAAGCAAATGTAGCTCAAAGACTTTGTGGGGAATGTTTACAGTGCCTGCTCAAACAATATCAATAATCTTTTGTTCATTTGAGAGCCTAGTGTTCGCTTGCTCTTCTCTCTGCAAGTTATAAAAAATGCCATTGGACATATCTTTTTTTTATTTTTGATGTAGATTTCTTTCAAATATATCATTCTACAAATGAGCTATCTGGTACATTTTATTCATGTTGACATATATTGAGTTTTTATCGTTTTGTTGAATTAAAATTTTAAAAAATCTGAAATACTCTTTATTATAAAACTAGCAGTGGTATACTTTATCTCTCTCTCTAAATATATATCACTTTGCTCTCTTTAAGTTCAAACATTGGGTAATGAAAATAACTTGTTGCACTATAAGAAGACCATCACAGCATAACTTTGTTACAGCAACCTAAAGTACTAACTGATCAATTTCAACATTTCATTAACATTTTGAAACGTATTTGTACAATTTCTATTAATCAGTTTTATTATTCTAGCTAAGGTTTGGTTTAATTTTGATTGGGGGTAGGGGGGTGTATGGTTAATTTATTAATAGATGACAAACTTTCTTTGGTATTTAATTAAAACTCACTAAAGTTGTCTTTAATGCTTTAGTTTAAATGTAAAGATTTATTATCATACCCATGCTGTTGTTTTTTTTTTAAATCCTTGAATCTTTTGTTAGAACAGTATACATGGTGTGTACAGTTTTCTTGTCTTGATCTCACTGCAGGTTTCAACAAGAAGGATGACAGGCCAATAGAAGAGATTATTCGTGAAAAACTTCTCACAATTCTAGAGTCTGCTTACCCCAATGTTTTGTCAGTTGAGGACTTGGTCAGGTATGACTTCAACACTAGTTGTTATGAGTAATTTTAACTATTTCTGTTCAGTAGTTGAAGACATTTGAAGTGTTCAGAATAATTTCAACATATTCTATTCAAGTGGACTAAAATTACATTAAATGTTTTGCAATAATTTTATTACTGAAACTGAAAAACAAACTAGTACATCTCTCTTAAAAAATTGTATCTAGTAACTTCTTTAAAAGCTATCTAACAGTTTTTGCCTGCTAAAAGCATTATAAAAACTGTATACTACTTGTAATTATGATCAGTGTCATAACTAAATATGAATACATGGAAGAGTAATTGTTTCCTTCCAGAATAACAGGAGCAGATGCTTCACTGGTCACACTTCAGTTACAAGAGCTACAAACCAGACAGCTGATCTCTCCCATGGAGAATGGTGGCTTTGTCAGAAAAGTCTTAGATGACAAAACAGGTAACGTTAAATTCAATCTCTTTCTTTCATTAACTCATTACATCCAGCTTCAAAATTAATTTGCTTTTTTATAAAAATTTGTGAACTCCCAATTTTTTTTTGGTGAACTTACATTTTAAAAAAAAAATATTATTTAGTTTTTTTTTTAATTTTTATAATTTATAGCAAACTATAGAAGATGTATGTTTTTTAAAAATTAAATTAATTTGTCAAGAAAATTGAGCAATGACACATAATTTCAAATTTGTTCCACTTTGTACCTACAGGAAATAGATTTAAGGCAAACCATAGCAACAAATATATTATATTTATCTTATTTTGATTATTGATAACTGTACTTACTGTGTGTTCTCATCTCAGAGGTCCAGATGATTAAAACCATGCCTATGATTGCTGCCAATCTTCAGCCTACCATTGCCATCATCACATATCAGTACTGTGAAAAGATGGCGGTAGATGCAATGATGGAAAACAAAACCACATATGTCCGCTATAAAACAGAAGGCAAGTCCATTTTTATATACTACAAATAGCAGCATATCAAGTTACATGACATTTTTACTCCCAGTGACTGTTTCTATTTCTTGTTTCATTAAATATATTATTCTTTAATACTGCTTTTTGCCATACACCAACATTCAGGAATGAAACACAATGAAAGTTACAATCTGACGAGTAGATTTCAATTTTTATTTGTATTTAGTAACCACAAGTAAAACCACAGCTTGATGTATTGTAATGTCTTCTAATAGCAAGTAAAACTGTAGCTGTACAGGAATCTACAAATTCTTTAATAGCTTGTTGAACTTACACATTTTCAGCTCAAGTCATTTTGAACATGATGTATTTGAATATTTTTTTTTTCGCTTTCAGGAGAGTCCAATGTCTACACCACTGGCTTTATTGGAGAACATAAAGTGGTGACCACAAAACTACCAGCCATTGGACATTTTAGGGCAGCTCAGATCTCTTCAGGCAACACCACAACAAGATTGTTAGGTAAACTAATATGAATAAGATTATTTTCTTTGGTGAATTGTTGGTCAACAAGATGGTTGGATAAATGGTTATTCAACGAGGTTGACATTTTTTGTGTGAAACATTCCTGTTTGATGTTTGTACTGATCATTCTAACAGCCCAATGCAGATTACAGACCTGTTAACTCATCAGACCTGTTAACTCTTAAGAATGTGACGTACAATGTACGACTTTGAGGTGTATACGTTATATATGATGTATGTTTATTTTTTACTATTAATATAAGGTATTGAACGATTTTGTGATGATATTGTACAATTTTAAGAGTTTGAGGGTAAACAGGTGTGATTCATACGATTTTGGCTTACAGTGTACGATTTCTGCTTCAGAGCTGTATGTTGTAATTTTGTGACATATTTTATAAGACCTATTAACCCTTTACAGTCCGATGCGCCCGAAATGCGCCCATTTTTTCCTTAAGCGTACAGTCCGATGCGGCCAAACCCGCCCGTTTCGAGGTTGTTTACTTTCGTTCTTAGCACAGCGGAAGTCCATTGCGCATTATTATTTATAGTTCTACCGGAAGAAAGCCTCGTTGTCGGCATTTATTTCGATACTACTTTGACCGCGGTGTGTTTAGGGGCTGATTTTCTAGGATTTTTTTAAAAGTCGCGATTTTTTCGCTGTAAAAAATGGCTATCTAAGCCTTGGATACACCTTTGAAAGAACTTAGGCCTAATGAAGCTTCACTATTTCATGAGTGGGAGGGTCTCTGAAACTATTTTTAGGTTTAACTTTTGCTTTAATAATTTCTTTGTATTTAGGTATTTTTTATTTTATTTTGTTGCTTCTAGTTTATTTTCTGAAAATTAATTAGATAAAGAACCTTCATTTAAAATGGAGTTATGTCCCCTTGCTTGGGCGCTGGGAGTAGACAAGGCTGAATAGGGTTGGACTGTAAAGGGTTAAGTGGCATTTGAATTTTATTTTTAGAAGTCACTAAGCAGCTGTACAATTTTAAGACACCAGCCCTCCTCTTCCCCAATACAGCTTGCGATAGTTATTTAACCATAATATGTTAACTGAAAATAAAATCAGGCTCCTAGGCGTAATGCAAGGGTGGGCAGTTCATGCCCAGCCATGTTACATATTGTGGCTTGCCGGATTTATCACAAATGAACGTATTCCTTCATTTAATTATTCATTATATTTATTTTTGGCATAAAGGCACATTGTGAATACATAGGTCTATACACCAATTTTTGTGTCGATATGCGCCATTTCAGTGTATCCACCTCTTTTTAGACTGATTAAAAAGATAGATTGAAATAAGTTATAAACTATAAAACAAGTTTACTTTTTAGTAACTTCTAAAATAAAAAGGATTTATGTAAACACAGATCCTTAAGGGGTACTTAATTTTTCACAAGCATTATGATTAAGTGAAGAATGATGCATCAACATTTTCAGGTATAGGCAAAAGTGCATCACTGGATTTTGAATTTATAAAAATATTTCTGGGAATGGGCTCAGCCTCCTTCCAAACCTCACCCACATTTTTGCTCCGGTTGCGGGCCCCTTCAATTTCAGCTCCCCAGCACAAATGACAGGCCCCTTTTTATTTGCAATGATACACCATACATAAATATATAAACGTCAGACATCTACTTTGAGATATTACCTTAATTTGACATTAGATGCGAATTTACTATTACCATACAGTATTGTAAGATTTTGAGATGGTAAATTACTATGATGAGACTTTATTGTACTATATTTGAGATTTCCAGTTAAGTAGGTCTGATATTACTTTTTTTTCTGTCTACTTGTTCTGGTGTTGAAACAGTTTGAGAATTTCTTATTATTATTTTTAGGTACGTTCCAGGCTATTGAACATGTGTTTTTAGTTGGCTGTGCTGGCAGTGTCCCCCACTTCACAGACTACTACAAACATGGACGTCTAGGGGACGTTGTAATATCCACATGTGATGACAAGGGATACATCTATTACTACTGTGACAAGATCTTACAGGACAAGAAAGGGGAGGTAAGCACATTTAATGAGTCATTCAGATGAGGATTTGACCAGAAAAGGTTGATTTATCTGAAGAACTTATCTGAAAAAAAGACACCCCCTCCCCCCCCAAGTGTCACTTTTGTTGTGACTAAAATGTAGTATGAGAGTACGATCATTGATGCCTCTCTTTTTGTCTGCAAAATTACCATTTTCAATATTGATTCAAACTGATGGAAAAGTTTCATGCATCAAATTCTTTAAGCGATGGCATGAATTAAATTATTTTTAAAAAGTGCTTGAGATTTCTGAAAAATGAACAAGAAAAAATTCATTCAAACGTATTATTATTATTATTATAATTTTTAGATATGTTTTTAATCCTCTCTCCACTATTGCTGTTAACCACAAATAGATTTGGAATCTTGAAGAAATCAGATAAAATTAAGTTTGACAATTATCATTCAGGTTCAGTACCAGTTGAAAACATGGGCACCCCGAGATCTGGAACTGCAAAAAATTGCTGATAAACTCAAAGAAACTCTTCAAGTGGACCCAAGCTACGCTCCCTGGGAACAGTTTATTGCTGAAGGGCAAGAGCTTTTAGCATCACAAGAGCAGGACTACACTCGTCCACCTAGGTCTAGTGACAGATTGTACATGGGCATTGGAGAAGGCCAGGTATGTTAACATAACTGAAAGCTGTTGTTTCAAAACCGCTGGCACAAAAGTATTTTAACCCATTATTTAAATATTTTTTTATTTTAATGAGAAGATATTTTCTTCTCCTGTTACTAGTGTTTAGCTTCCAATGCTCAAGCATACGTTTAGGGTGCTATCAGTTCCAGAGGTTCACCTTAAACATACACTGAAGTGTACTACAAAAGTTGAATTTATTTTTAGGTCATTGAAGTCCAGCATCCTGAAAACCCTGATGGTACGGAGACAAGAACTGATATACCTGTCATCAGATTTGGTGTGTTGGGAGCTGGCAGGCCTGTAAAGACAGAAATGTCTCGACACGACTTTGCATCCCGTTATGGCATCCAGTCATTTGACACAGACTTTGATCAGGTAAATCATAGGCACCGTACATTTTAAAATAATTTTGCTTCATTTATTAATTGAAACAAAATTTGTATTCAGAAAAAGAAATGGACTGTTTCTTTTAATTGCAAGGTTTCCACAGCCTCCTGAAATTCCAGGAGCTCCTGGAAATCTCCTGGAATTTGAACAAAATTGATAAAATCCTGTAAAACTCCTTAAATTTTAAAATTTCTCCTTAAATGTCCTGAAATTTTCATTTCCAAAGGAGGGGTAAACAAAAATCTTGAGTGCGCTAGTTATTTTATTTAATTTTTGTCTATTTAACTCGTAGTCTATTTTTAGCCCTTCTGTTATCAAAACCAGTTTGCTATAATAATTCTAGTGGTTTCCCCTTAACTGCACATGCGCTTTACGCGTTTCGGATATGAAATCTTGTACCGTAATGCTTTGATAGACCAGAATTTTTTTGTCCTGTTCAGTTCGCGGTTCAACTGATTTTTTGGGTAAGTATTGTGTAAAATACAGTAAATGGATATAATTTAAATGTAGTTTTTTTTTTTAAATATTCAGTTAACTATTATGAATAGAAAACTACGCACCCGATCGCTGTATAAATTGACTAAGCCGACTAAGCTTAGTCTAAAATTGTAGGTTGTCCAAACTGGAGAAAAAAAAGTGTTTGTTTAGGGTCATTTTTTTTTTAAGTCAAAGTTTTCAACAACAAAAAATAATTAATCCACTTATAGTGGTAATGTTAAAGATTTAGAGATTTTTTTTAAAAAGTGTTTGCTTGGTGGTGACCCATTCCACTGTTTAAAATCCGGACTAAGCAATTACATTTGAATATGCCTATTTTAGTTTCTCTTCTGCCTCTGTATTATTAGTTAAGTAACAGTGTAATATAGTTTATATTATGTTAACTCTATTATAGACCTAATATGAAAATATATTAATTATTTTTTTGTTTCACTATTTAGGGTCTAGGGTAAATAAAATAATGCCCAACAGTTCCTTTGAAGACTGATGGTTAAGATAGCAATCCTGATAGCATAAGTGCTACTCTACACTAGAAATTTACTCTGAACTGAGTTCATCCCAAGCTAGTGGACTAGAGTTCAATCCCCAGAAAATGCCCAGACAAGCAAAAATATCACCAACATGCCGGGTAGATGGGACTCGTTAATCTTGAATGGCATCTCATCTTAGAGAAAGCAAACTCTGAAATCAAACCCGGAGACGGAGTCCCATAGGCCTTATGACATTGACACAATGAAAATTCCGACAAACTCCTATGATGTAGAAGCATAAAGAGCATAGTGAAACACACACACTCGCTGCTGGTAATCTACTTCATCCTGGTCTATATCCAGTTGTCTTGACTAATCTTGCCATTGAATCAAATAGGCAAGCACAAGAGAGTAGTTCTGACAAATTAAAAAATCGTCCCTAAATTTAAACAAAATACAACTCACGTCAAGGCTACTGTTCCAGGCTTAGTGATCTTCATGTGTACAGGACGAAGAACAATACTGGAAATATGGATATCAAGTATATTTGCAGGACAGCTCTCGGATGACATGAAAATTAGGGGAAAATGATTAATAAACGTCAATCATCTGAGATTTCCTCTAGTTCAACTTCAGTTTTTTTACCTACCTCGGATGTCCACTTTTGCAACGTCTTAATCAAGCTCCCAAGTTATGTGTATCTTTGGAAATAAATACGACTTACTTGTTATTGAAATGGATTATTTTATTAGTTGTTTTTTGTCAAACATCAGGTACTTCTTATCAGAAAAAGTTACTCAATTGCGTGTGAACTAGGGACCAGAGTATCTATACCGGTACATCCTTAAATCAAATAATTTCTTTAACATTAGCATTCCTGAGAGTAAGAACCGTCACTATATAAGTGCATTTATGTCCTGCTACTACAAAAAATTTGTATAAACGTACAGGGTCTTTTGTAAAATTATTGTTTAAATGTCCTGGGATTTTATATTTTATCATGGAAAAGTCCTGGAATTTTTTTTTTTTAGATTTGGTGCAGGAACCCTGTAATTGGGTTTATTGCCCATCCAAAAACTCAATAATTTAGTTTTCTTACTTGTATCAGACTTATCATTCAACATTAGTTTTTGTGAAAAAAGAAATTACTTAAAAAGAACATAAAAATTAAACCATGCTCATGTAGTACATATCAAAGCAACCGTTTTGGGACAAAAACCCCAAAAATACACTAGATTCTCGCTGGAAATCAAGAATAGAAATTGTTAAATTTTATTTGAAGTGTCTAATAATAGTCATTCTCCTTCAGGTATTGGACAGTATTGTGGGCAACCGCAAAGACAGCTTCATGTTTATTAGGGGCCTTGCAGACTACGTGGATGGCACCAGAAACAAAGAATGGCAGCCGTATGCTGCTCTAGCTGCCGCATCTGTGACCAAAGCTCTCATCATGTCCCTACACAATGCACAGCTGGATGACCTCTAAACAGTACTACAGGCATTTTATGGAAAATATTGCTTTTACAATTAATATATAGGAAATAAATTCTACTAGATTGAACTGGCTTAAAATGAGCTTGTCTATATAAAATGGGTCCATTGCTTTGAGGAGTAAACTGCATGTGATTGTTATAGTTAGAAATGATGTTTGTTACTAGGCTGAAATTCTTTAAGTCCTCTTGACTACATCTCTAGTATAATCAAATATTATCTCGTTTTTTTTTTTCCTTTCAATATGTTGATATTTTCTGTCTGTGGAGGCTGCAGGATAAGAAACTCAAATAGATATCCATTTGCATAATAGAAGTCATAGAAACACTTCAATTTTTAAGAAAGATTGAAGTAAAAATTAAAATTAATTGCTAAAATCTTTGTGATGATGGAAAAACTGAATGTATTTTAACATGTTGTTGACATTTTTTGGTGAAAATTACACTTGTTCATTCCTTTCAGATTTGACCAATCAATTTTTCATTAGCAGACAATGATTCTGTCATGTGAATTACTGTATGGTGGCATAAAAACATAAGATTCTCAAAAAAAAATTAGACTGGCTAAATGAAATTAATATTTTAAAAGAAATTTGGACCAGGGTGTTACCCTTGCCCCCAGGGGTGCTAATAGCTTATGTAGGTCATATTGTGAAAAGATAATCTCAGGTGATATGCAATGTTCCCTTTAAGCTAAGCGGCTGCGCGGCCGCGCGGTAATCTCACAGACGCCACACAGCAGTTTTGAGTACCGTGCAGCTAATTTCCACTTAAGTTTGTGTCTGTAGGCTGTAAAATTTTGCGCACAAAAAAATTGATGCTGTAAAAATTTGCACACAACTTTATGATTTTGCACACGAACCAACAAAGCTTAGAGGGAACATTGGTGATATGACTGTATGGTGTTACTTACAGCAATTAAAGCACAGGACAAGACCAGCACAGCATTTCTACTTACCACTATGACATGGTTCATTGGTTCACACAAGCAACTCACACACTGAGCACATTCTTACATGTTTCTTCCTTACTTGTTACCATATGTTGAATATATGCCAATGCAAGCCTTCTTTTGTTATACCTTGTCAGATGTTGGTATGATCAGGCCACTAAAACATTTCATTTGTTTTCCTCTAAGGCAGGGATTCCTACAATTTTACTTCCTTGCTTCCCAAAAATGCAGACTTTCTTTTTTTTTTCATTATTATTATTATTTAGGCATTTTTGTATAGCGCTTACCTTACAGCTCTAAGCACTTTACAATTATTAAAAATATGTAAACTATTTAAACTGCTAAAGTAAAATAAAAATGAAAAACCAGAGACACTAGAATAGTAACTACAATGCGAAAAATGACTATAGAAACAGTAGCTAAAACATTAAAATGGCTATAAAAACAAGTACTCTTGGGACGTATTGGCATTTACTTAAATACAGGATCAACCCAGCATAAACATGGGGTTTAAGGTTTTGTAGGCATTGAATGCTGTTAAAAGAAGTAAGTCTAACTCTGGGTTTTAGAGGAGGTTCTAAGCAAAAGCAGTCATAGTTTTTTTTCATTTTCAGAAAGAAAAGTTGTTTTTCCCTGAAAATTTGTAATTTAAAAATAATTTTAAAAATACTTTATTTTTGTTTGTCACAATATTTATTTGGTGCCAAGATTAGCTCAAGGAATTCATCAATTTAATAAAAATCAAAAGTTGAAATGATCTAACCTATGGAATATTCCAATCTTTTGGACGCTACATTATTTCTCTGCGTGTGTTCGTGAACTGGGCTTTATGCTAAAGAGGTCATTCATTTTTAGAACTGAAAGCCTTTATTCTAGAAATGCTTAATGTTTGTAAGTTAATGATGAGAGATTTGATTTTAATGTCATAGTTTTTTTTGTGTGGTTCTCTATGAGATTTTCTTTGTTAATTTGTTGGTGATTGGATCAAATGCTTGTAAATTATCTTTGTAGAATGTTGATTGTGAACAATCCTAGTCTCTAAAGTGAAAGCTACATAAAGCAACTCAATACTTCAATCGCTGCCTGCAATACTGACCACTATTTTATTGGATCTATCGCATGTAACATTGTGCACATCATCAAGCTGTTGTTATTCTCCAATACCTACTCATAACATCAGTATTTTATAACACTGAACTACAGCCTTCTGGTGTTGGAGTGAGCTACTGTTGTTTTGGTTTATAAGTAAGGAGAATTTTCTCCTTCCAGTGGTGGTAATCATTGAGAAATTTACTTCATAACTTGTTCAAGCCCATCAATTATAACTTGGATAGTCAAGGTTCACTGTGTATGAATGTTTGAGTTCCTCCAGGTCACAATGTAATCCATGGTTCTATGTAATAGGCTCCTTTATATTAGCGCATAGAGATGTAAATATCGCTGTATATGTTTCTTTTTTTGTTTATTTATACATACTTATCTATAGCAAGAACCTTTAGCAACTCTCTCTACCACTGTACCAATACTAACACAATTTTCATTTTACTCCCTATCGGTGCTGTATCATAATATGTTTATGTTAATTGTTATGTTAGTACTTTCAACTGGAAGCTTTTTTTTTTCCTTTCATATATTCTGCAAACTACAATCTTTTATGTATGTATATAATCATTCACTATCCAGATTTATAACTAATGATTCATAGCTTAGTTAAATGCATAAATATGTATGTACTATTTATGGGAAGTAGTTGATGGTAACTAAAAAGTTACTGTATTTGAGTAATATTTGCCCTCCAACTACTCACACACGGATAAGTTCATATATCCATCCAATAACTCATAAATGGATAGTGTGGCTCATCCTTCCAATGACTTCTGCATGACATTAGAAATTATGACCACTAAGGAGTGTGATCAGCTTTAACAGGGCTGATATTGTTTCCTTCATACCCTGTTGTTTGTATGGCAAGAGATGTTGACATCATATAACATTGGCCTTGTTTATGTTATTTTTGTTGTTTAGTTTTTCAAATTGATTTCTCATGGGTTTTTTTTTTTTAAGCGTGATAATCTAATTTTACTATTTGACAATATTTTTTAAATGAAAGGAACAACAAGAGCTGGACCCCAGTTCTGCATTAACCAACTAACATGATCAATATGTTTCCATCACAACAACCAGCCAATAGCACAGCCATTCTCGGTGTGTTGATATTTACTGACAAGGGCAATTCAGTGGGTTGTCTCAGTTCATCAAGGCCGGTATGTTAAAATGTTTTGTAGCTGTGTTAATGGGAGAATTCGGCCAGACCAAACCAGTATTTAAGTGCAATGTCTATACTGTATCCCAACTTCAAAAGTTTTTTCCCCTGACAAGGGAAATAGATTCCCTTTAAGATACCGGTACTAACATAATCCTCATCAGCAGATTTTACCACTGGCGGGGTAAATGAAACAAACTTTAAAATACATATTCCTCATGTATGGCATTTTGAACATTGATTCTGATTTTACTAAGTCAAATTGTTTACTAACACATAAAGTGAACCAGACCTGGTCAAAATGAGGTTACATTATCAAGACCCTATGAGAAGTCAGACAGCTCTATGACATCAGCTTGTCTAGGCTTGTTTGAGAAGTTGTCCATATTGTTCCACTGCTGTCTTTATTTACTTAGCTTTATCATAAAATTAGGATTGTTTTTTTAAATGTGTGATAGGACAGGAAGAGTGTATTGTCAAAGTTCTTTTAATTTTAAGCTGTCTCTTAGCTTTGTCACTGGTTTATGTTGCATTGTTGTTGTTTTTACATTCTCAATAATTGAGAAAATATATGTCAAATACAGCTAGTGAACTTCTTGATGTAGCAAAAGTGATGTAAGAAAAGTGATATTCAAACAATATTCCATTGACCTACATCTGTGACTGATTTAAACATTTTTTGTTGACATTATTCACTAGTGATTATAGTTTGTACAAAATTGCCTCTTTTTAATTTTTTTTTTTTTTTTTTTTTTTTTTTTTTTTTTTTTTTTTTGTTTTTTTTTTTTTTTTAATTTTTTTTTTTTTTTTTTTTTTTTTTTTTTTTTTTTTTTTTTTTTTTTTTTTTTTTTTTTTTTTTTTTTTTTTTTTTTTTTTTTTTTTTTTGTATTGTGGAAAATTTGCAGGTTGAAACATTTTTGTATAAATATTGTTGACATTCCAACTCCATTTTATGGAGCTTCCAAATTTAGCTTATTATTCTGCAAGGCTTACACTTAAAGGATCATAAATGCATAAAGAAAATAATTTTTAAATAAATAGATGACACATTATGTAGTCACCATCAGTTATCGGGTATATAAGCTCTACTAATAATACGTCAGATTGACATTTGGGGTCCTATTTTTAAGCATCATAAAAATTTATTAGTGTTACAATTTGAATAATAGAATAAAATTATTTTGTTTTAATTTGTCATTTCTTTTTTTTTAGGGTGAATTGTATATAATTGATTTCTGACAAGGGTGAAATAAGTGTACGCTTTAGACTTGAGAGAATTGCTTGTTAATAAATTTTAGATATTATATGGCAATGTATGTTTTGCTTGCTATGCTTCTTGAATATTTTTACAATCTTGCCAAGTGACCTGGTGTGGCAATTAACTTCATTCCTAACTTTGCTGATAATTTAAAGATTACTGTTTCATTTAAATCTCCATATAATGTACTGTACAATATAAAAGACTCATTGAACATGCTACATAAAAGCACTTAGGACTTAAATAATCTTGAAATGTATCAAAAGTAAAATATTTGCATAAAAACACTTAGGACTTTGAATAATCTAGAACTGTATCAAGCGTGTCTTGAAGAATTTTTTGGTAATACTTTGACCGATTAATGTAAGTGAAAAGTAGATGTCGTGCCGAATGCTGGTCAAATGGAGATATTTTCTACCTTTTATTAGTGCTCACACCATTCTAATATTTTTTTTTCTCAAATGCTCAGAAATAAAATGTAAAAAAAAATTAATCACTAAAAGAAACCTGTTCATTTTGTTGTACTGTTGATAATTTTGTTTGTAACTTGACCAAAAAGGCACAAATGATACAAACCTCATTTTACACTTTATGATGCAACTTCACTCACCTCTTCCATTAATTTTCAACAATTTCAAGTACAAGCTACAACCCCTATGGCACACTGAAACATATAATCCGGCCCCCCTGCACAAAAAGGTTGCCCTATTCTAGAAGAAACAGATTTTGTCAAGCAATCATTCTATTAAAAAACTCATCATTCTGCTCCAACCTCTCATCATTCTGCTTCAAACTCTCATCATTCTGCTCCAACCTCTCATCATTCTGCTCCAACCTCTCATCATTCTGCTCCAAACTCTCATCATTCTGCTCCAACCTCTCATCATTCTGCTCCAACCTCTCATCATTCTGCTCCAACCTCTCATCATTCTGCTCCAACCTCTCATCATTCTGCTCCAACCTCTCATCATTCTGCTCCAAACTCTCATCATTCTGCTCCAACCTCTCATCATTCTGCTCCAACCTTTCATCATTTAACTTACAGTAGCTGTCAGAATCTAAGTGATAATTGATCAATAACTTGTGTGATAGTAATAAATTAACTAAGATTTTGCCAAGCACAATTATTAATGTCCCCATCCCCTATGATGTTATCACTGATTACCCCCCCCCCCCCACCCCGGTTACAATAATTCCCTCAATTTGTCTTGCTTTTATTAAAAAGAGGTTAATAAAACTAAGATTTTGCCAAGCACAATTATTAATGTCCCCCTCCCCTATTATGTTATCACTGATTACCCCCCCCCCCCCACCCCGGTTACAATAATTCCCTCAATTTGTCTTGCTTTTATTAAAAAGAGGTTAATAATTTCAACCAATTTGGACATAATAGTGTGGTGCCCATGTTTTAATGTGGTGCCCATGTTCTAGTGTGATGCCCATGTTTTGGTGTGATGCTCTTGTTTTGGTGTGATCTCTATATTTTAGTGTGATGCCCATGTTTTAGTGTGATCTCCATGTTTGAGTGCGATGTCCATTTTTTTGGTGTGATGCCCAGAGTAAAGAGTGATGCCCATATTTTAATGTTGAGCCCATGCTTTAAGGTGATGAGAATGTTTTGTTGTGATGTGCATGTTTTAATCTCCCCCAACACTCGAGGTCAGAAAGCGTCGTCTCTCATCGTTGCAGTAGAGGTCACTGAAGACGACAGCTAATCGACTCCGCCTATCACGTAGGGCAGATCCAGCTCTTCTCTGAAATCGGTCTCGGGACATTTCACACTTGAGATGAAATAGTTCTCACAATCTAACAAAACAAAAAAAACAGAGATAGTTGATAACAATTACTACTACGAGTAAGTCATTCCAACAAAATTTAAGCATTCAACAACCCCAGCTACAAACTTACAGTAAATGAGTCAATAAAAGATAAATTTATCTGTTTATATGAAATTTTATAAGGAAGTGACAGGACACTTGGACAAAATCTGTATGGACATGCAGTCCTGTGCTGGTAACTCTTGAAAGGACGGGATGAGTCAGTTCAGGATGCTACTGAAACGGTGAGCGCGCGTGCACACACACACACACATGTATATAAAGATAAACGATGGGCTAAGTACCGTACTCAAGTACAATAGATGAGGGAGTTGTAAGCTGACATCGCCAGAGTTTATGATAGTACAGGGAAGACATGATAGCTTGGTAGGCAGGGAGACACCAGGTGGACAGTGTGGGAACGGATATCACGAATTAATTTGAGTTATGAAATTTGTTGTTAGCTGGCAAAAGTGGAATGTTCAAGAAGACAGTAGGTAGCTTTAGATTAATTATCAGCGATATAATTATTTTTTTCTCAACTTGACAGATGCTAAAAGTGGGTGGAGACATGGGGTAAGAGTTGGTGGTAAAGGATCTGGTCGGGGGAACATGGTCTTTAATGAGATAGCAATTCATTGAAGATGGACGTGTATTTAGCAGAGTTTATTTTTAGTCACGTTACGGGAAATACAACGGAAGCGTTTTTGGAGACACGAGTAGTAGAGTCCGAGATTCGTGGACGGTCATTCTGAAGTGACAGACGCAGTAGTACTAGTCGCAGTCAAAGATAAAACTATGGATATACATATTTATGAATCCCGGTAAAATTATTATGGATAACAAGGACAGACCTGCACGTGAGCAGCAGCACACGTCCAGTGCCATATATGGGCCGAGAAGTTAAAAAGAAGTCATAAGATGATGATGAGTGTAAGAAATGTCATCAAACCACTGTGTCTACACCAACGACACAGACAAGATATGGTGTTTTGTGAAACTTTATGGTGTTTTGTGAAACTTTATGGTGTTTTGTGAAACTTTATGGTGTTTTGTGAGACTTTATGGTGTTTTGTGAGATTTTATGGTGTTTTGTGAAACTTTATGGTGTTTTGTGAAACTTTATGGTGTTTTGTGAAACTTTATGGTGTTTTGTGAAACTTTATGGTGTTTTGTGAAACTTTATGGTGTTTTGTGAAAAGTTATGGTGTTTTATGAAACTTTATGGTGTTTTGTGAAACATTATGGTGTTTTGTGAAACTTTATGTTGTTTTGTGAAACATGGTGTTTTGTGAAACTGTATGGTGTTTTGTGAAACATTATGGTGTTTTGTGAAACTTTATGGTGTTTTGTGAAACTTAATGGTGTTTTGTGAAACATTATTGTGTTTTGTGAAACTTTATGGTGTTTTGTGAAACATTATGGTGTTTTGTGAAACTGTATGGTGTTTTGTGAAACATTATGGTGTTTTGTGAAACTTTATGGTGTTTTGTGAAACTTTATGGTGTTTTGTGAAACATTATGGTGTTTTGTGAAACATTATGGTGTTTTGTGAAACTTTATGGTGTTTTGTGAAACTTTATGGTGTTTTGTGAAACTTTATGGTGTTTTGTGAAACTTTATGGTGTTTTGTGAAACTTTATGGTGTTTTGTGAAAAATTATGATGTTTTGTGAAACTTTATGGTGTTTTGTGAAACTTTATGGTCCGCAAAATAGAAAAGAAATTTGCATTTAGAGTTATTATTTGGATTGTTTTCAAAGTCTATTAGATTACCGTATGCGGTAAAGAAATGATTTTTTTTTCAAAATGACCGTTTTATGTTTGTAAAAAAATCCTCTAATTTTATAAAAAGTACTATTAATCCATAGCAGCGGGTGCCTTTTTCAGGAGATCCTCCAACAATAGGTATACAAATGCCATTAACACCTAGATCTAATAACTCCCATAAAAATGATGGTTGTTATCTAAGCTTATTGGTATTTATATAGCTTACATAACGATAAATACATAAGGCAGGTTTGGTCAAGATCCATCTAATATACGTAGAGACGTATGCAGGAAAAACAAACAAAACAAATTGTCATTGTATACATATGATATATTATGATATTATCATTATGAGTCCAAAGTTTGTTCCCCCCCCCCCCAACTCCTTGGTAGAACATTCCTGCGGGCGCCCATGATTACAAAGGAAAAACAAACAAAAAAAATTTTCATTGTATACATATGATATATTATGATATTATCATTATGAGTCCAAAGTTTGTTCCCCCCCCCCCCCAACTCCTTGGTAGAACATTCCTGCGGGCGCCCATGATTACAGGTACTCTTAGATGACTCAACGGCGTTTTAGGACGCATCCCACCAAGATTGAAATAATAATATCCCATCGATTGAAATAATAATATCCCATCGATTGAAATAATAATATCCCATCGATTGAAATGATTATATCCCACCGATTGAGATAATAATATCCCATCGATTGAAATAATAATATCCCATCGATTGAAATAATAATATCCCATCGACTGAAATAATAATATCCCACCGATTGAAATAATAATATCCCATCCCACCGATTGAAATAATAATATCCCATCCCACCAAGATTGAAATAATAATATCCCACCGATTGAAATAATAATAT